TAAATCAAGATACCCTATTGAAAATTGTGGCTAAGTTTAATTCTATTTGGCCCACTAGATTTAGTGGAGAAGATTTTTGTAAAAGATTACAAAAATTTACGAAAAATTTACTTTAAAGGGCAATAACTCCTGAAGGGGTCAATTGACAATTTTGATCATTTAACTTATTTGTAGAGCTTACTTTACTGAACATTTTTGCTGTTTACAGTTTATCTCTGTCTCTAGATAATAATCAAAAACTGCAAAATTTCCTTAAAATTACCAATTCAGGGGCAGCAACCCAACAACGGGTTGTCTAATGCGTTTGAAAATATCAGGGCAGATAGATCAAGACCTGATAAAAAGAATTTTAAACAAGATACCCTTAGGAAGATTAAGGATGATTTAGGCCAAGTTTGGTTTAATTTGGCCTAGTAGTTTCAGAGGAGAAGTTTTTTGTAAAAGATTACAAAAATTTTAGAAAAATTGTGAAAATTGACTTTCAAGGGCAATAACTCCTTCTGGGGTCAATTGACAATTTTGTTCATTTGACTTATTTGTAGATCTTTCTTTGCTGAACAATTTTGCTGTTTACAGTTTATCTCTATCAATTATAATATTCAAGATAATAAACAAAAACTGCAAAATATCCTTAAAATTACCAATTCAGGGGCAGCAACCCAACAACGGGCCTTTTGGGCCAGGTGAGCTAAAAAGAGAAAAAGATAAAGTTTTGATAAAAGTGCTATATTTATATTTTTGATATTTTGATGTTATCACCTGATTGTATATTTTGTAATAAAACGTTTACCAGCTACAATAGCAGTTTGTAAATACAGAATCAAAACTAGTGAGAATTGGATGTCGCTAAGTAACATGAATATTTAATCTCAATATACTAATAAACAAAATATTATTGAGTCACTGACCCAAACTACTGTAAACATCAGACATTTTCAAGATTTTTGCACGAACGGAATGGATATGTTTTGTACTTTATTAAAGAAAATCACAAATGTCCGTTGCCAAGGGGGGGGGGGGGGGGGGGGGGGGTGTCACCTTTAAAAGTCATTTTTACATAATGGAATGCCAAATTAATAAAAATGTCGCGATTTCGTAACACATTGCAGGATAGGCTAACCTAATTTATACGTTTTTCGTATCACTTTTCCATGTCACACTCTGTTTAGTGTGATACGAGAAATATATCTTCGTGCGGGAAAAAGATATCAGATCACAATCATACGAGAAATATATTGATATACATCTACAGGTTTGTATGTATATTAGAAAAAAAAGCGTGATCTGAACCATAGTCGACATAACACCGCGATGAACAACATCATTTTAATGATGTTGTTTTCGCTGTAGCGTCGAAAGTGTGTATCATGTCCACTAAGCACGCTTGATAACAATCGTTATCTTTTCCATGTTTTCGTCAAAGCATTTGGTTTTAGACGACGTTATATATCTTCATTTGCGCTTTTTGGGTGCATACAATGGTAGTCACTACGTTGAACAAAGGGGTTAATATCTAAATTGAAATATTTTTTTATATCAAGGCTTAAATATATATATGATGCACGATAAAAATTAATATCATATTTCTGTAGGTAGGATTGAAAAATGTACATGAAAATACAGACGTATGGCGGGCAAAATAAACTTGTCAGTTTATGGATGCAAGGATCCAGTTTACCCATAAAACATTTAACTGACTAAGAAATCAACAAACATTAAATAGATTTTTTTAATCATCTGTAATAAGCTGATTGGGAACTTTCACACGTATTTTTAAACTCGGTTTAATTGTCCCATTCAGTATAACACCCGTACTAACTCTTTTGTCTCAAAAGTAATGCATGAATTTGGCAGTTTTAATGTCGGTCATTATTATAAATCATTTCTATTCAATGTGAACAAATTTTAAATTCATCTCTTACAAGATATTGCCGGTTCTTGAATACAAAACTATCTCGATCCATTCATGAAGCGTAGTGCTAAAGTACTCAGTCATTTACAGGATCTAGACCTATTTATTGTTTCAGCGAACAATGAAACTCGACCTTCACATACAATGTATATAAGTAATTATTTATGTGTCAAACCTGTCCAGAAAAGGTGAATACTTAGGTAATTTATCATAACGACGAGCTTTTATACTTGAGATGTTGTCCGAGAATATTTTATACCTTTATGAATGAATGAATGTACAAGGTCGTTTTATTTGTTTAACGTTAGTTATTGCGTAATCCTAATGTATGTGCCGTTATGATCCGTTCTAATCTCTCTTAACGTCTGTCAGAAACTATATTAGAACAGTCTTTAGAACGGTTCTCCTGACACCTTTAGAACAGTTTCTGACAGAAGCAGTTCTACCATAAAACAGTTTTAAACAGTTATAACCTACAATAGACTAGACAGTTCTAACCTAGAAAAGATTCGACAGTTCTAACATAGAAAAGATTTAGACAGATATAACCTAGAACAGATTTTGACAGTTCTAACCTAGAACAGATTTAGACAGTTCTAACCTAGAAAAGATTTAGACAGATATAACCTAGAACAGATTTAGACAGTTCTAACCTAGAAAAGATTTAGACAGATATAACCTAGAACAGATTTAGACAATTCTAAACTAGAAAAGATTTAGACAGTTCTAAACTAGAACAGATTTAGACAGTTCTAACCTAGAACAGATTTAGACAGTTCTAACCTAGAAAAGATTTAGACAGATGTAACCTAGAACAGATTTAGACAATTCGTACCTATAACAGATTTAGACAGTTCTAACCCAGAGCAATGTTGGACAGGTGTAACCTAGAACAGATTTAGACAATTATAACCTAGAACAGATTAGACAGAATTAACCTAGAACAAATTTAGACAGCTCTAACCAAGAAAAGATTGAGACAGTTCTAACCTAGAAAAGATTTAGACAGTTCTAACCTAGAACAGATTTAGACAGTTGTAACCCAGAGCAATGTTGGACAGTTCTAACCTAGAACAGATTTAGACAGTTCTAACCTAGAAATGTTTAGACAGATATCACCTAGAATAGATTTAGACAGTTCTAACCTAGAAAAGATTAGACAGATATCACCTAGAACAGATTTAGACAGTTCTAACCTAGAAAAGATTAGACAGATATAACCTAGAACAGATTTAGACAGTTCTAACCCAAAGCAATGTTGGACAGTCTAACCTAGATCAGATTTAGACAGTTCTAACAAAGAAAAGATTAGACAGTTCTAATCTAGAACAGATTTAGACAGTTCTAACCTTAAACTAGATGCCGTGTAAATATGTCTTATCACCCAAAAGTTGGAGAAAGTAATAATATAAAATCAGTTTTCTTTAACAATCGATATATATATATTCAGGAACATCTTGGTTTCGGCAACTGCGATAATTCGTTTTTATAAATAAACTCGTCGTAAATACCTTGGGCTCTTATCACAAAAAGTCTTACTACTAAAACTGATCGTACGTTATACGGAAATGTTCTTGACCTACGAGTATTTTTACTCGTAAGATTTTTTGTGATATCGTCGCAGGATTTTATAGAATTGCAATCATCCCTAGCTATGGTATCACCACTACACCAGAAACCAAAGGATGTAAGGCTATTAGCAATTCTTTTTTTTTTTTATTCATTTTGTACTTTTTGACACAAGGTCTAAGCGCTTTCTTCTTGTAAGGGGTTCTTTATGGGCACATTTTCTTGTGTTAAGTATAAGTAGAAATCAACTCTCCAATCATGTTGCTATGATGTTACTACATTACCTCTTGAATAATCCATGGGTGTTGCTTCATTGAGGTCCAGTAACAAACTTCCATACATATTCTTGACGCCGAAAACAAAATGCATTAGATGGATAAAGTTTTCTTTGTGGGTAGACTGGGATAAAGCGCGTAACATTTGAACTGCCGCTGAAAAAGAACGTATGTTGAAATAGGATAGAAATTTAAATTGCAAGAGGCCATCTACGGATGCCATGAATATGGTATAAAGGTGAGGACGTTGCACTTTCCCTGCAATAAGCATCGGATTTAACGTTCCCATCCCGACCGGACATTGCTGCGTCACACCACTGTCAAATGGAGACTTCCTTTAACATTGGTTTGACACTACTTCATGTGTGCAGGTGACCATATGTTTATAATCCAGTCAAACCCTAGGAAAACGTGTTAAATGAAAAACGATCCCTGAGTATATCAAATATAAAAATGTATACCGTCAGTTGACATTCCTACTTGTTTGTTATTTAGGATCAAACTAATTCAAGTAAGCAAACAAACCATATAAGACAAGTCATATACAAACACGAATTATCTGGTTAACGTTTGTTTTTATCATTCAGAGTGTGTACCAATTCGCTATATTATTTCCGATAACTATCTTGTGTACCCTTCCGCAGCTAGTGGACTACCAGTCCCCGAGGTTATGATCAGCTCAGTAGTCAGTAATTGTTGAGAAACTAAGGTTTCAACTCGCTCAGGCAAAGTTGATTTTAGATGGATTTGGTTATCTGTACGTTCTTTTTAGTTATATAACTCTTCAATAGTTTTGGTTCTTACACATCCTTGTCTTTAAATATTTGGCTTTGAGAGTTCCTGATGAAGGTAAATCCAGAAACGTACTTCGGACGCATGAAATATATAAAATGTTGTTTTCATTTTTACGTTTTGAAACCAGTGTTTTCATTCCAAACTTTCATATTTGATCAAGATAAGAGAATTTACATGTAACGATTATTTATGAATTTGGTGATTGTCTTAGGGTAGACATTCACCAAACCGCTTTTGTGTGATTCGAAAGCACCTGAAATAACCCTTTAAAGTATTATAACAGAAGTAACTATAGTGGTAAACTTCATTTATTTGGCCATTGGTATATTCTTCAAATATTTTAAGTTAAAAATCATTCCCACTGTTGCTGTGTTAGAGACACGACAAAATGTTAAAAATGTGTTGGAAACTTCCACCGCTGTTCTTCAAACAATACAAACCATTGTACGAAAGTAGTTCAAATAAAATTTATTAAACCCTTCAAAAATTCATTTAATAACAAGATTTTTGATTCGCAGTATTTCGGACCTTATTCTTTGCTTATTTTATTATAAGTTTGAAAATATTCCAAAGTATTTGCAATGCCTGTTGTATATAGAGTTCAAGGTAAAAACATTTCATTATACAATTTACTTTAAGATAGACAAATTTATTACCAAGTTTTATTAGTCTAAGAGATATTTTATGTAAATTACATGAACATACATAACATTTACTATTGTAACAAAATAACATTAACATACTGAACTAGTTTCTTGAAATTTGCTGACACTTAAAGTGAAATATATAATAATCTTATTTGAAATCTATATAAATTGTACAATCTTATGTTCAAGCACAAATCATATCAACGGGACATGCTTTGGAGTAGGGGGAAAAGACAACATTTAAGTCAAATAAGTCCATTAGAAAAAGGGTAGCCAATTTTTTTAATTGACTTTCTTAAATTTCTAGTTGAAACATGGAAGGGGTGTAAAAGAATACAGAAGTTTTGCTCTCTCTCTCTCTCTCTCTCTCTCTCTCTCTCTCTCTCTCTCTCTCTCTCTCAATTTAGTTTTGTAGCCATACGATATTCTATTAAATCATTATCGTATTCCTCTATAAAGTCTTCATATTTTATTGTCTTATCCGTAAAGTCTTTTAACAGATTGTTTATTTCGTCTTCAGAGAGTTGGTCGTCTTCATTTGTGAGCACGTGACGTAGATGGTCTGTACTTACTTCACCGATACCATTGATATCAAACGACTTGAATGCCTCACGAACTGTCTGCGCCGAATCCATTTTTTCAAATTTTATCGACAAAATCTTCAAGAACTCATCAAAACTAATCCATTCATCGTCTACAAAAGATTTGTTCATAGATGTACATGTAACATTATAATTTGTAATCAAATATATTTCAGCTATTCAATTTGAAAAAAGTTTCATATATAACATCTTATTTTTTATCCGGAAAAAACATAACGATCTTAAATTAAGATTTTGATTCCTAAATATTTATAATATAATCGACTTCAGTCTCGAATAATTATATTTACTCAATACATTAGAGACAAGAGTAGTCGATCGATGTTCAAATCTGATAAATCAATTCAACAGAAACCATTCAATGTAAAAACAAATCTGAGGGAATCGCAAACTTCGAAGGGAACGAACGAGACGATATCCTCTTCCAAATATTTTAGTTTCTAGCGAAATTTTCTTTTCGTTCCTGAAAATATTGTTTTGTGGTTCAACATTTTCCACAAAATTTGTACATACTGCACTTCTACACAAATGGTAGGCAAAAATAACTGTTACACGCGATATTTTGCGCAATTAACAACTGGTATGATGTCATCAATTGAAGAATATTTATCTGACCTTCAAACGGTTCCTACAACGGTATCTTAAATCAACTGATTTGATTACCAAGTATGAAGGGATATGATTTATTTTTCGAATTTGCATCCATATATTCGAACATATTTATGTTTTATCACAATCGGAAAGATAATAAATTCTAAATTTAACAGTGGAGGTTTCAGTGGAAGCGTAGAGGCTGTATTCCCCCTCCAAATACCCTCCCCCCCCTAAAAAAAAAAACCCACGAATGGGAAAATATCTTTTTATTTGCATCATACCGTGACAAAAATATTCGACTCGCTAAACTACGCGCGACAACATCTTTAAAATCTTGGACAAATTACGGTCAATCGGCTTCATTCTAATACACCATAAAGGAAAGAACATGACAAAATGTAACTTCTGTCCATCTCTCAATCTAGAATGAGAAAATACTCATCTACAAGAGTCAGAATAATTCTTGTGAACTACTACATATGATTCTTTTCTCGGTGTGTCGGCGAAGTTGGACGGACGGACGGATGGACGGGTCTTTGACGGACGGATGGACGGACGCCCGGTGTGTCTATGTCCCCCGCAACGCGTTGCACGGGGACAAACATAGGAAATGAGGAAAACATTTCTCTTATAGGGTAAATTCAGTAAATAAAAATACGTCATCAGGGACCGGGGACCGCCAATTTGGGGAAAAGCTTTCTTTATAACACTGAAGTTCTGTGCTCTTCTGATTGGTCTGTTGATAGATGGATCAAACATGAGTTAAAAAAAATTAAAAACATGAATGTTGAATGCACTTAATGTTTTACTACTGTGTTGAAAAGTAATGGCGGTCAGTAAAGGAATTTAGTGTGAATCTACAGTGTTTGTAAACAAGGCCAATGTGAAAGGCCCAATAATGGCGCATGACCCTATGTTTTTATTGTTGCAAAAGATGGGGCTCGATGTGTACTTCAATTAATGATATATGAAAGCTTCTGATTTCTAAAGGTAAGCCAGGTTTAAATTTATTTCAAAACATAGATTTGCATTAAAGTCAATGGCAGATTTTTTTACTGAATTTGCCCCTTTAACGCTTCATTTTATTTCTTTTCTTTAGCATCTCCAACATAAGTTATGGGTCTAAGTAAAGCAGTAAAAAATTGATAAAATGAGTTTAGGGGAAAATTAAAAAAAAAAGTTTTGATAAAAGTGTTATATTTATATTTTTGATATTTTGATGTTATCCTCTGATTGTATATTTTGTAATAAAACGTTAACCAGCTACAATAGAGTTTGTAATTACAGGTTTCATAACGAGTGAGAATTGGATGTCGCTTGATATCAACTCAAGTAACATGAATATTTAACTTCAACATACTAATAAACGAGCCTTTGGCGAGATAAGAAACAAAATATAACTGTGTCACTGACCCAAACTACTGTAAACATCAGACATTTTTAATATGTTTGCACGCTTCATGAATGGAATGCAAATGTTTTGTACTTTATTAAAGAAAATCACAAATCTCAGTTGCCAAGGGGGAATGTCACCTTTTAACATAATGGAATGCTAAATGAATGGAAATGTCGCGATTTCGTAACACATTGCAGGATATCCCAACCTAATTTATACATTTTTCTTATTACTTTTCCATATCACACTCCGTTTAGTGTGATACGAGAAATATATCTTTGTGCGGGAAAAAGATATCAGATCACAACCATACGAGAAATATATTGATATACATCTACAGGTTAGTATGTATATTAGAAAAAAAGCGTGATCTGAATCATGGTCGACACAACACCGTGTTGAACAACATCATTTAAATGATGTTTTTTTTTTCGCTGTAGCATCGAAAGTGTGTATCATGTCCACTAAGTACGCTTGATTACAACCGTTATCTTTTCGTCAAAGCATTGGGTTTTAGGAGACGTTATATATCTTGATTTGCGCTTTTAGGGGGCATACAATGGTAGTCACTACGTTAAACAAAGGGGTAAATATCTAAATTGAAATAATTTCCATATCAAGGCTTAAATATATATATGATATACGATAAAATTAATATCATATTTCTGTAGGTAGGATTGAAAAGTATACATGAAAACACAGACGTATGGCGGGCACAATTAACTTGTCAGTCTATGGATGCAAGGATCCAGTTCACCCATTAAACATTTAACTAACTAAGAAATCAACGAACGTTAAATAGATTTTTTTCTTATCATCCGTAATAAGCTGATTGGGAACTTTCACACGTATTTTTAAACTCGGTTTAATTGTCCCATTCAGTATAACACCCGTCCTAACTCTACATCATTTTTTCTCAAAAGTAATGCATGGATTTGACAGTTTTATTGTCGGTCATTATTAAAAATCATTTCTATTCGATGTGAACAAATTTTAGTTTCATCTTTTACAAGATATTGCCGGTTCTTGAATACAAAATTATCTCGATCAATTCATGAAGCGTAGTGCTAAAGTACTCAGTCATTTACAGGATCTAGACCTATACTTGTTTCAGCGAACAATGAAACTCGACCTTCACATACAATGTATATAAGTAATTATTTATTTGTCAAACCTGTCCAGAAAGGGTGAATACTTAGGTAATTTATCATAACGACGAGCTTTTATACTTGAGATGTTGTCCGAGAATATTTTATACCTTTATGAATGAATGAATGTACAAGGTCGTTTTATTTGTTTAACGTTAGTTATTGCGTAATCCTAATGTATGTGCCGTTGTGATCCGTTCTAGTCTCTTAACGTCGTCAGCAGCTATATTAGATCAGTCTGTAGAACGGTTCTCCTGACACCTAGAGAACAGTTTTTGACAGAAGCGGTTCTTCCACAATCAAGTTTTAAACAATTCTTACATAGAATAGATTAGACAGTTCTAACCTAGAAAAGAATCGACAGTTCTAACCTAGAAAAGATTCAGACAGTTCTAACCTAGAACAGATTTAGACAGTTCTAACCTAGAGCAATGTTGGACAGTTCGAACCTAGAACAGATTTAAACAATTCTAACCTAGAACAGATTTAGATAGTTCTAACCTAGAAAATATTAGAAAGATATAACATAGAACAGATTAGACAGTTCTCACCTAGAACAGAATAAGAGAGTTCTAGCCTAGAACAATGTTGAACAGTTCTAACCTAAAACAGAATTAGACAGTTCTAAACTAGAGCAATGTTGGACAGTTCTAACCTAGAACAGAATTAGACAGTTCTAAAATAGAACAATGTTGGACAGTTCTAGCCTAGAACAGACTTAGACAGTTCTAACCTAGAACAATGTTGAACAGTTCTAACCTAGAACAAAATTAGACAGTATTAACCTAGAACAATGTTGAACATTTCTAACCTAGAACAGAATTAGACAGTTCTAACATAGAACAATGTTGGACAGTTCTAACCTAGAACAGAATTAGACAGTTCTAACCTAGAACAGAATTAGACAGTTCTAACCTAGAACAATGTTGGGCAGTTCTAGCCTAGAACAGATTAAGACAGTTCTAACCCAGACCAATGTTGGACAGTTCTAACCTAGAACAGATTTAGACAGTTCTAACCTTAAACTAGATGCCGTGTAAATATGTCTTATCACCCATAAGTCGGAGAAAGTAACAATGTAAAATCAGTTTTCTTTAACAATCGATATATATATATTCAAGAACATCTTGGTTTCGGTAACGGCAAGAATTCTTTTTTTATAAATAAACTCGTCGTAAATACATTGGGCTCTTTTCACAAAAAGTCTTACGACTAAAATTGATCGTAAGTTATACGGAAATGTTCTTGACCTACGAGTATTTTTACTCGTAAGATTTTTTGTGAAATGAGTCGCAGGATTTTATAGAATTGCAATCATCCCTAGCTATCATGGTATTACCACTACACCAGAAACCAAAGGACGTAAGGCTGTTATCAATTCTTTTTTTTTATTCATTTTGTACTTTTTGACACAAGGTCTAAGCGCTTTCTTCTTCTAAAGGGTTCTTTATGGGCACATTTTCTTGTGTTAATTTTAAGTAGAAATCAACTCTCCAATCATGTTGCTATGACATTACTACATTACAAGTTGAATAATTAATGGGTGTTGCTTGATTGAGGTCCAGTAACAAACTGTCATACATATTCTTAACGCTGAAAACAAATACACTAGATTGTTAGATTTTTCTTTGTGAGTAGACTGGGATAAAGCGGGGGACATTTGAACTGCCACTGAAAAAGAGCGTATGTTGAAATAGGACAGCAATTTAAATCGCAAGAGGCCTTCTACGATCGCCTCAAAAAGTTGTTGCATATGGTATAAAGGTGAGAACGTTGCACTTTCCCTGCAATAAGCATCGGATTTAACGTTCCCATCCCGACCGGACATTGCTGCGTCACACCACTGTCAAATGGAGACCACCTTTAACATTGGTTTGACTACTTCATGTGTGCAGGTGACCATATGTTTATAATCCAGTCAAGCCCTCGGAAAACGTGTTTAATAAAAAACGAT